GAAGTAACTAACATTTGATTAAAGTAGTATTTTAATTTAATTTGCATGCAAAACACATAGCAAATTAAATTAATTAAAGGGAATATTTAAATTAGTCAAATTTTGAAAATGCAGATTTAAGGCAAGGTCTTTCAATAATACATAGAGCGAAAGACTTAGGTCGTTTCACTAAGCCTGGACAAGGACAAATGTGGATTAGATTAACACTCCCTTCATCAGTTCACCATATATCAATGTTTCATTGCTTGGCCACGCATGGACCAAGGCTGGGATTACGATCCTGTGACAGTGAACCCTCAGGAAGGCAGAGCAGTTGCAGTCCCCTGGATACAAATTCGACCAACAATCATAAAAATAACCATTATTTAATTTTACTCCTCAATTCTACCCAACCCGTTATTATACATTATAATTATATTTTACTTGGATTTATAAATGTATTTAGTTTGTTGAAGGTGTCTCGTCCATTATATTAATCCATTGAATGTAAATATGAATATAAATGGGTCTTGAATGTTTACATCATAATGTAATTGTTAGGAATAAAGTGTCATGGTTTTAATATGCCAAATTTGTATTTGTAGATCCCCCAATTTTATTTAATAGGTCTAGTAGAGTCTTAGACCATGATCGGGAAATTATTTAAATATGAAAAGAGAAAAACAGAGGAAGATGGATAAAAATAGAAGAAGAAGATATAAAGCCGAAAATCAAGAATTTGTCTGGAGAAAATGACAAATTGAAGAAGAAGATGAATTATACAATAATTCACGTCAATGCTACTCAAAGAAGATATCCCAGAAGAATTTTCGTGAAGAAAATTAATGTTGGAAGAATGCATGAAATTGATTTGGAGATCAAGCATCTATGGAAAGAAAGGAGTACATCAAATATGATTGGAGATTTAATCAAAAGCTGTATGGACGAAGTGGATGATGCTTGATATATTATGTGAAATAGCTTAAGTTCAAAACTCGCCATCAATAATTTTACAAGGTAAAATTTGAGAAGCCAAATTAAATTAATCTGATGGAGTTGGGCGCTAGTTTAAGCTTTGGGTGCCGATTACAAGTGGAAATTGGGAAGCAATTTCACTTGGGTGGCAATTGAGATGCAATTGCACTTGGAGCCAATTCAAAGGAATTGGGAGCCGATTTCATAGCAATTAAAATTGGGAGCTAGTTCGAAGCAATTGAAATTGGGAGCCAGTTTCAGAGAAATTGAAATCAATTAAAATTGGGAGCAAGTTTCACATGAGAATCAATTCAAGATGGGAGCCAATGTAGAATTGAAATTGGGATGGGATGGGAGCCAATGTAGAATTGAAATTGGGATGGGATGGGAGCCAATGTAGAATTGAAATTGGGATGGGATGGGAGCCAATGTAGAATTGAAATTGGGAGCCAATTGAGGTTGTAGTATGGGATGGGAGCCAATTGAGGTTGTAGTATGGGATGCAATTTTAAGTTGGGGACCGATTCAAAGAAGACATGGAGATCAAATTGAATTGAGATGAAATTCAATACCAGGAGAAGTCTAGGAGCCAATTTCGAAGTCAAAGTTATTAGTCATATAAGTTTGTTAGAGTGTAATGCTGTAGTTAGAGTTAATTGTGTGGTTGTTTCCTATCTTCTAGCTAGTCTCTATTGTATAAATAGCAGTGTTTTATTCTAGAGTTGAATAACAAAGATATTCTTTCATTAATTTGGTATCAGTTTAGCCTAGTCGATCCTATGGCCACCGATGAAAACCCATCTCCCATTGCCGACTCCACCGGCGGTTCTACTGATGCGGTTGCCGGCGCCGGCGCCGACCATCGACAACCGAATATGTTACACCAAGCCCACCACTATATCTCCCTAAAACTCACTGCCACCAACTACCTTTTCTGGAGGGCACAACTCGTGCCGTTCCTACGTGGCCAGAATCTATACGGTTACGTGGACGGAACTCTCCCATGTCCGCCTGAAACGCTCGCCGGCACGTCGACCACACCAGCCATCAATCCTCTCCACGCCATTTGGGTCCAACAGGACCAATCTATATTGAGTATGCTCATGTCGTCCATGGCAGAAGAGGTTCTCTACCTCGCTGTTGGTCACAACACATCCCGCTCGGTGTGGACTTCCGTTGAAACCGCTCTTGGCTCTGCGTCACGGGCGCGATCGCTGAGCCTTTTGTCCCAACTACAAGGTCTCCGGCAAGGCGACTCCACTCCAGCAGAGTATCTGGGCAGGGTGCAAGTGCTGGTCGAACAACTTGCCCAGGCAGGACGGTCGATCGAGCTGGATGAACAGAATTTACACATTTTTCGAGGTCTCCGACCAGAGTACCGGGGTCTCATCGCCTCTCTCACTACCAAGAGGGCACCTCTTACTATCCCGGAAGTAGCAGACCTCTTGACCACTCACCACTATTTGTTCCCGGAGGAATCTGCCTCGTCGCATCTTCCGCAACATCCGCCGGCGGCCATGGTTGCGCAACATCCGTCGGCTTCTTCTTCTAACAATAACCGTGGTCGTGGCCGCTATAATAATAATTGCGGTCGCAACCGTGGTCAAAGAGGTCGCGGAGGTGCAGTACGCTGCCAGCTTTGTGATGCAACCGGCCACACGGCCCTTACCTGCTATCGACGGTTCGTCGATGTCAACGCCCAACACCCACCACCGTCGCACCCCGGTCACTACACGGGCCCTCCGCCGCAGGCTCATATGACCACCCATCAGGCTCAGGAGGATTTCAACACAGCGCCCTTCTCTAACGTCTGGTTTCCCGACACCGGGGCCAACGCTCATGCCACACCTAATTGGGCGGCCCTGAATCATGTGGAGCAGTATGGCGGAGATGAAACATTGCGTGTTGGCGATGGTTCAGGTCTGTCGATCTTGAACACAGGTTCAGTTGCTTTACCGTCAAGTTCCCGGTCACTGTTGCTAAATAGAGTTCTTCATGTTCCTAAATTACAAGCTTCTCTTTTATCTGTACATAAGTTCACACGTGATAATGACGTGTATTTTGAGTTTCACCCTTCCCATTTTTTTGTGAAGGATCGTTCAACCAAGCAGGTTCTACTTAGCGGTCCTAGTCGTGGCGGGATGTACGCACTCGCACAAACTTCCCCGGTTGCGTTAGTTTCCACCAAAGTGTCGCCCCGAATATGGCATAATCGTCTCGGGCACCCGCACTCACGCGTATTGCGTCAGGTTCTTTCTGGTTGTCCGGTCGATGGTTCTTTTTCATCTTTAAATAAGCTATGTACAGCATGCCAACTGGGCAAGTCTGCGCGCTTCCCATTGGCCCGAATTGAACAATCTAGTCAAAGTGTACTTGATTTAGTATTTACGGACATTTGGGGACCAGCTCCGGTCCCGTCAGTAGATGGTTTCAAGTATTTCGTTCTTTTTGTTGATGACTTTTCGCGGTTTATTTCTTATTACCCGCTAAAGTTAAAGTCTGATATTTATTCTGTGTTCTCCAAGTTTCGCACATATGTGGAAAATTATTTTGCAACCAAAATAAAATGTATTCAATCAGATATGGGTGGGGAGTACCGTAAACTTCATACGGTTTTTACCACCGCGGGGATTGCGCACCGCCAATCAGCTCCACATACCCACGAACAAAATGGGCGTGTAGAGCAGAGTAACCGCCACGTGGTAGAAACCGGGCTCACCTTACTAGCCCAAAGTCATGTTCCACAGAAATACTAGCCTTTCGCGTTTGAGTCTGCGGTTCACTTAATTAACCGCCTCCCGTCCACAGTTACACAAAATATCAGTCCCTACTCCCGCTTGCATCACAAATCACCCAATTATCACTTATTACGGGTATTTGGATGCGAGTGCTTCCCGTGTCTCCGTCCGTATAACAAACATAAAATGGACTTTAGGTCCACTTCTTGTGTATTTCTGGGGTACCCAGAATCTATTCTTGGTTACAGGTGCTTGGACAGAGAGACTGGACGGGTATATTATGCCAGGCACGTTCGCTTCAATGAGGATGTTTTTCCATTCCAACATGTTCCACGGCGTGTTACTGTTCCAGCTATGCCTACTTCATCACCATGGGCTCGTGCACCTATACAACTTCCACCAACCCTGAATGTCATGCCACCTGTTCGGCCAATCCAGAATTCTGTGCAACCTGATCGGCCAACTCAACTTCGACGTCCTCCTAGGCCACAACCACCGAGCCAGACTGCTGCGTCAACAGCCCCCGCGATGGCCCGTCTTCCGAGCCAACCTGCTGTGCAGTCCCGCTCCACGTCAGCAACAGCAACGGCGTCGTCGACTCATCAACCGACGACGTCGTCCACCACGACTGGCAGACGACGGCGCGTCAGGTCGACCATCCGCACCCACGGCATGCAGCTTCCAACCACGACACACATGAAGCGACGTCCGACTGCCTTAGTAGCTTCGGTGGATGATGACGAACCTACCTGTCATACGCAAGCCGTGAAGCGGCCTGAGTGGCGTGCTGCAATGGATGCCGAATTCAACGCCTTACTGCAGAACAATACTTGGCAACTTGTACCTATCAAAAGTTATATGAATGTAATAGGTAGCAAGTGGGTTTTCCGCGTTAAGCGGAAGTCTGACGGTACTGTCGAGCGTTACAAAGCTCGACTTGTAGCCAAGGGGTTCAATCAAATCCCCGGTCAGGATTATTTGGAAACGTACAGCCCCGTGGTCAAACCGACCACTATCCGGCTGTTACTAGCTTTCGCTGTGTCTGCCAACTGGACCATGCGATAGTTAGACGTCCATAACGCTTTCCTGAATGGTCGTATTGAAGAAGATATATACATGCGCCAGCCACCTGGCTACGCGAATCCTAGCTATCCGGATCACGTATGTAAATTGCAGCGCTCTCTGTACGGGCTTAAGCAAGCGCCGCGTGCGTGGTTCAAGAGGTTACACGATTTCTTGCTATAGGTGGGGTTCCGTTCCTCGAAAACGGACGTCTCCTTGTTCATCTTTGACTCAGGGCAAATCCGTATGTACATCCTGGTTTACGTCGATGATATCCTGCTACTCGGCAACAATCCTGACATGATTGACAATGTGATGAAGCAGCTGGCGACGACCTTTCGAATTCGAGACCTCGGGTTACCCCGATTCTTTTTAGGGGTCGAAGCTATATACACAGAGGGTGCGCTGCTGCTCTCACAACGACGATACATAGCTGAGTTACTCAAGAAGGCCGGAATGGGTACGTGCAAAGACGTTTCTACACCAATGGCGTACAACACTGCGGTCACGTCCGACTCCCCACTGCTAGATGATCCAACGGCGTACAGGCGTCTAGTTGGGTCCTTGATGTATCTTTTGATTACACGGCCCGACCTTTCGTTCGCGGTAAATCGCTTGTGCCAATTTATGCATAAGCCAACAGAGGAGCATTGGGTGTCACTTAAGCGAGTCCTTCGCTATGTGCAAGGTACACAACACCTTGGTCTGCGGCTAACTCCGGCACCAACTCCAGTGGTGCATGCCTTTTCCGATTCAGATTGGGCCGGGTGTTCGACAGATCGCAAGTCTACTGCGGGATATGCTGTGTTTTTAGGCCCCAACCTGGTTTCATGGGTGTCTCAAAAACAGCGTATGGTCGCACGATCGTCTACAGAAGCCGAATACAAAGCGCTTGCCGATGTTGCAGCCGAAGTCACCTGGATAGAGTCACTTTTACGAGAACTCGGGTTACAATCCCAGACGGTGCCTGTGTTGTGGTGTGACAACTTAAGAGCAACTTATCTGTGCTCCAACCCAGTGTTTCATGCACGAACCAAGCACGTAGAGGTCGACTACCATTTTGTCCGGGATAGGGTCAGCACGGGTCAGTTGAAAGTGAATTTTGTCTCGACTCATGATCAACTCGCAGATATATTTACTAAACCCCTAGCTACGAAGCGCTATTGTGATTTGCGGTTCAAGCTAGGCGTGGTCCCTTGTCCCCCGTCAGCTTGAGGGGGAGTATTAGTCATATCAATTTGTTAGAGTGTAATGCTGTAGTTAGAGTTAATTGTGTGGTTGTTTCCTATCTTCTAGCTAGTCTCTATTGTATAAATAGCAGTGTTTTATTCTAGAGTTGAATAACAGAGATATTCTTTCATTAATTAAAGTCAACAATTCAAATTGGGAAGCAATTGAAAGCACCAGGAGCAGTTTGGGAGCCAATTGCAAGTCAAAGTCAATTGGGAGCCAATTACAATGGAGAAATTCAAATTGGGTGCCAATTACAAGCCAATTGAAATTGGGTGTCAATTACAAAGGAAAAATTCAAATTGGGTGGAAGTTCAAAGCCAGTTTGAAGTCTGAGAACACCCAGACGTGAGAATGAAGAAGATGAAGATGAACTTACAGTGAAAATATTCTCACAAGGAAAAATACTAGTTTAACTAGTATGGGATTAAATTGATGAATATTTTTAAATCCCAAAGATACAAAGACCACTTCAGAGCTGATCAGAGAAGCCGTTCTACACCCAAATATTCCCACTCAACGTTAAACCAAAGGAATATCAGATGAAGTTTGGGAGCTCATTTACATGGAGATGAAGCTCTAACAACGGCTAGCTTATCCTTTCTGACATCTTTGCAGAAGATAAGATAAGATCTCTGACAAAAAGATACAAGATTTCAAAAATGAGAGCGTCTCTTTCCAACGGACAGATTCTCATTACCAGCTATAAAATGATGAAGATATGAAGACTTGAAGACGGGGAACTTACGAACAAGAGAGCAGAAAATTCGAAACTCATCAAGAGATCGAATAGAGCAATTAAGCTTGAAAAGAGCATAGAGCAAAAATCTCATTGGGTACAGAGCATACCAAAAATCTTCAAGTGAGAAGTGAGAAAAGAAAAAGAGCTCAGAGAGCTTCAAAAGAGAAATATTCTGAGAGTTCTTAAACAGAGCAAAGCAGAGCAAAAATATCAAGTGCTTTACTTGATATATTCAAAGAGAAAAAACACTCAGAGCTATCAAGAGAAATCATTCCAGAGTGTTTATCTTCATCAAAGAGACCTGCGCATCATTGAAGATCATCTACAGAGTCTCAGAAGTTGGAAGCAAGACAACACTTGTTTTGGAGCAAAACAAGAGAATGGAGGAAAGTAGCACGAAGCTGTGAAATCCTGGATTGTCACACGGAGCTGTGAGATCCGAAGCAGCAGTGTCGGAGGCACTGGGCGTGATTGGTGTGGGCTTGGTGATCAAAGCACCAGATCACGGGATACGTTTCTACCGGAGTGTGGAAGACGGGGGGAAAGTAACGCGGAGTCGTGAAATCCTGGGATAGTAGCGCGGCGACGTGAAACCCGAAGCAGCAGTGTGGTGTCACTGGGCGTGATTAGTGCGGGCTTTGTGATCAAAGCACTAGATCACGGAAATTCATTGTATCTTGGAACCAAGGAGTGGTAGATATAGTGAATTGCTCTTGGAGATAAGAGCAAGTGGAGTAGGAGGATTACACCACCTCGCGAACCACTATAATTGTCTTGTGTTCTTTACTGCTTTCTTTACTTACCGCTCTTTACATATTTGCTCTACACGAGATATACTGCTCACACAATCTCACACACACTTTATGTTTATTTATTTCCGCTGTGCACCATACTCTAACAATCTAGTTAAGAGTTTTGGTTTATCTCTGGCTTAGCAATTGTTGTGCTGTGCGAAAAAGTTTGAAAGTCTATTCACCCCCCCCCCCCCTCTAGACTTTCACCTTACCTCTGTTGGGACCAACAATTGGTATCAGAGCCTATAGCCTATTTGAGTCAGTTTATACCAACCTTTGGTATTAAAACACGTTGCCTAACTGGGTTAACTGTTTTTGACTGCTAGGCTGATCCATTCTACAAGTGTGTGAATTGGATTAATCTTTCATATCTCTCGTGATGATGATGAAGAAAGATTTAGCACAAAATCTATTATTTTCTCTTGATAAATTTGATGATTGGAAAGTTCGTATGCAGGTACACTTATTGGCCATACACGATGAAATGTGGGAAGTTATTTCCACTGGCCCTATAGAAATATTAAAAATCAATACAGCGTTTGTCCTATCCACGGATGCTCCACAGTACGTACAAAAGCCAAAACCGGAATGGACACCGGACGATAGAACGCGGAATAATCTTGACAATATTGCCAAGGATATTCTATTCAAAGCCGTTGATGATACAATATTTCCGAAGATCCGAAAGTGTGCCACTGCCAAAGAAATATGGGAAACTCTTATTAAGATTGGCGAAGGAGATGAACAAGAAAAAGACAATAAGCTCACAATCGCCATGAAGAAGTTTGAAGATTTCAAAATGCTCTCAAATGAAAGTGTTGCAGACATGGAACATCTCTTTTGGGACCATCTCTAAGCGGAGTGGAACATCTCTAATTATATTCCACAAAAAGGGAGTTATTAATCACATGCCTTGGTTACACATTCCACAACACGCACAATATCATAATAAGGGTCGGAGTAACTAACATTTGATTAAAGTAGTATTTTAATTCAATTTGCATGCAAAACACATAGCAAATTAAATTAATTAAAGGGAATACTTAAATTAGTCAAATTTTGAAATGCAGATTTAAGGCAAGGTCTTTCAATAATACATAGAGCGAAAGACTTGGGTCGTTTCACTAATCCTGGACAAGGATAACTGTGGATTAGATTAACACTCCCTTCATTAGTTCACCATATATCAATGTTTCATTGCTTGGCCACGCATGGACCAAGGCTGGGATTACGATCCTGTGACAGTGAACCCTCAGGAAGGCAGAGCAGTTGCAGTCCCCTGGATACAAATTCGACCAACAATCATAAAAATAACCATTATTTAATTTTACTCCTCAATTCTACCCAACTCGTTATTATACATTATAATTATATTTTACTTGGATTTATAAATGTACTTTTAGTTTGTTGAAGGTGTCCCGTCCATTATATTAATCGATTGAATGTAAATATGAATATAAATGGGTCTTGAATGTTTACATCATAAAGTAATATAATAAAATGAAATCGTATGGCCACACGCACCGTACCATGGCGCGCCACATTGGATTCGGTCTGCTCGGATGCATATGTTGCATAAGTCGTTGTAGTATAGTGGTGAGTATCCCCGCCTGTCACGCGGGAGACCTGGGTTTGATCCCCGGCAACGGCGTTGAGTTTTTGCGTTTAACTCTTCAAAGTAGAACAAAGCAAAGCTTAAATAAACAAAAGAAATCCGACCTGCTGGATTTGAACCAGCGACCTAAGGATTTCAGCTCAGATTATTACTCCAACTACAGACCTCCGCTCTACCAACTGAGCTAAAGTCGGGGCTAATAATACCCTTTATAGGGTTTCTAAGTGTATATGGATTAAAACGAAATGAGATGCCTGCAATTATATTGTTTGAAGTTAATTTTAAAAGTTTCTTTCACTTTTCTCTACTTGCAGGATGTCTAATTAAATTACACTACCAATCTCTGCAATGCTCAATCTACATACCCAAATAAACATTCATAATTCACCAACAAACAACCTTTATTATTATTATTAGGGTTAAGTTGCACACAACGAGAATAAAGTTGATGCATATGCAACATATTTCACACCTCTTAAAAAGTGGTTATTTATATTAGTTCAAAACTACATATATTTTTTTCAAAGTGGAACAAAGGATTTAATTACCAATACCGTACGTTTCAAAGTATCGTTTTCCAAACTTCTTAATTAAAATTTGAGAATTATTTTCTTTAGGTATACCTAAATTTATTTTTATTAATTTTGTCCTTTCTGTTGATTTTATTATTAATTAGCGTATTAATATTTTTGCATAACATGAAATTGAAAGTAACATAAAACACTAACAATAATATTTTAAGTTATTTTAGTTCGAGTTAGGTTTGGATGAAATATTAACACTCAATATCTGAATTGATATGAGATATACCATAACTTCAATTATCTTAACCAATAACAATCTGTGTTTCTCTGAAATATAATTTTTGGTTTTGATTTTTAGCGTTAGTTTGAATAATGCAAATAATTTTAACTCTTAATGACAAATGTCGCAACACCTCAACAACATTGTTTCTTGAATCAACCTTTATTTATTTTTCTACCTCAATAGGCAATATTGAAGCGCTATAAAAGAATTGAATCTTAAGCGGAGTGGAACATCTCTAATTATATTCCACAAAAAGGGAGTTATTAATCACATGCCTTGGTTACACATTCCACAACACGCACAATATCATAATAAGGGTCGGAGTAACTAACATTTGATTAAAGTAGTATTTTAATTCAATTTGCATGCAAAACACATAGCAAATTAAATTAATTAAAGGGAATACTTAAATTAGTCAAATTTTGAAAATGCAGATTTAAGGCAAGGTCTTTCAAAAATACATAGAGCGAAAAACTTGGGTCGTTTCACTAAGCCTGGACAAGGACAACTGTGGATTAGATTAACACTCCCTAAATCAGTTCACCATATATCAATGTTTTATTGCTTGGCCACGCATGGACCAAGGCTGGGATTACGATCCTGTGACAGTGAACCCTCAGGAAGGCAGAGCAGTTGCAGTCCCCTGGATACAAATTCGACCAACAATCATAAAAATAACCATTATTTAATTTTACTCCTCAATTCTACCCAACTCGTTATTATACATTATAATTATATTTTACTTGGATTTATAAATGTACTTTTAGTTTGTAGAAGGTGTCCCGTCCATTATATTAATCGATTGAATGTAAATATGAATATAAATGGGTCTTGAATGTTTACATCATAAAGTAATATAATAAAATGAAATCGTATGGCCACACGCACCGTACCATGGCGCGCCACATTGGATTCGGTCTGCTCGGATGCATGCGTTGCATAAGTCGTTGTAGTATAGTGGTGAGTATCCCTGCCTGTCACGCGGGAGAGCCGGGTTTGATCCCCGGCAACGGCGTTGAGTTTTTGC